TGTTGTATTCAATTCAAAATTAAACTTCTCTGGCATTAGATCAACAGCTGAATATCTACCAACTTAATGTGTTCACCACTTAATTCACTTCCTGGAGGTGGTCTTTTTCTGAACTTCATTAGGCTGTTGTTTAGTTTCTATTATGTTTGTGATTATCTCTTGATGAATATTGATTGGAATTTATCTTGGTGTTCGTTTGATATATTGGACTGAAAATGTTGGCTTTACTCTGATTCTAGTTGATGCTTAATTTGCTTATTTCTTATTTTCAAATTTATCAAGAATTGATGCTAGAGGTCTGTGACGAGACAGATATATTGCTGAGCTGAAAATGAAGGTTGATTCTTTTACCCTTGTTATTGACTGATTTGCTTGACCTTTTGGAAGACATAATTTCTTCATAGTTCACTTAGAAATTCCTTAAATTTTCTATATTAGAATTTATTTATTTATCATGAGTGATAAAAGTTTAAATACCAATTAGATTTTTAGGTGTAAAGCCTTGCAAGTGCCCAGCTTTGGTCTTATCATTTTGTATGTATTGCCGTTTGATATGGTGCTTTAGCTTGTTTGCTATTTGTTATTTCATGACAGATTGGAGACTTTAAGATGCATCTGAAACAGAATGTTGGGGCAACAAAAGCACCTTTGTCCAATATTCCCCCACGACAGCACCACCTATTCCAACTAAACCTATGAAAGAATTAGCTCCTGTAGCAGCTGCTGTTGCCCCATCACCTCCTCCACCACCAAAATCCTCTCCAGAAAAAACCACTCCATTTACAAAGGTCTTCTTTGGGAAGTCATCAAAGTTAGTAACTACGTCCTAGTATCTTCTCCAGTGGTATGTGATGCTCATAGAGTGTAAGGATCCATTTTTCTAAAATTGCAAATCCTTTTTGTGCAGATTGACTGGTAGAGCGAGCTAGCTACAGCCAATTGTTGATGAGGTAAATAAAGCCAAGCCAATCCTCAATGTTACTAGTACTTCATTCATTTCTTGGATTCATCAGCTGTATATACTATTTATTATCCACCTGAAAATTATTTTCCTCTGAGAACATGCATGCATTCACTTGCCTTAAAAATGGCTTACGCTTTCAGGTTATTTCGAAGGGAATGAGTGGTTAGCCTTGGCATCACAGGAATTCACAATCACCAATGAGCTTGCAAAATGATGTTCTTAGGCAAGCCAACCAATTTTAATTTTAAGTTCAATATTACAGGACCTCATGCTCTCCATTCTGAAGAATTGGGAAGACTTTTGAAACAAGCAGGTGCTGATGTTCAAATGAGATTTTTCTGTAAGCTGGAACTG